GATCAGGATCGATTGCTGCGGCGTCTGGAAGGTAATGATGGCCCCAGTGGTGCACACACCCCACTTTTGGGTGGTGCTGGTAATGGTAAAATCAGCGGCAAGAGCACCCGCAGCAGCAGCATCGTATCCAGCGGTGTGCCCAAGGTCAAGTTCTATCTGAACTGAGACTCGATGGCATCGATGGGTTTTGGGGTTCAATGGGTACTAGCAGTATTTGTGCCAAAGATTGAGGAACTACTCTCGCAGAGGGTGACCAATATCGCCAAAATGTGACTTAATATTATTAATTAATTTAGCTGTAAGTGTGGCCCATATCGCACATACACAACGCAACAAAATATTCGAAAGAGACAGCAAGGCCAGTGTGGCTGGCATTTAGTATTATCTATACTCCTAAGTAGCCTAACTTAAGTTAACTTAAACGTTTACTATTTAAGTCTTAATTGTTGGACCTTGTAATTGTTTAGTCCTAAGTGACCAATAGCAAACAGTATGATTTTCATAAAGTTTTAAAACAAAAATTTCGCTTGGGTTTCACTTATGCGCTCCTCCACATTTGAAATATAGGGTGTTACACATTCTGAAATGTTTTATTCAAACTGATCGATTGACTTTATCTTTAGGCCAAAGTTCTGATAAACACATCATCGTGCCTTTAAATCGCGTTTACCAGCATTTCAGCAAATTACTTTGTGCACTCAGAACAATTGCTTTGTTTGTCAAGTTTGCATTACTCAGCTTTTGCTAATTGCAAGGGACTGAGCTGGGATCGCTTAGTCAAACATATTCACATTCCAAACGTTCAGCTTGTAGAGAGATTTCTCAGAAGTGGTTGCAATGATTTCACTGAGTAACTTCGAAAATCATTCGTTAACAAAAGCCGTCAAAGGAAGTTTAGTCTGGGCTAGTAATCACTTTTCAAGCGGAAAGTTAAGCTAAAATAGTGTGGGCTCATAATCACATTTCAAACGGAAACTTAAATTGAAATTGTGTGGGCTTATAATCACATTTCAAACGGAAATTAAAATTAAAAGGGAATCTAAAAAACGCATAAACAATATTTGAACGAGTTTTCATCAGCATCATATGTCATATTTGCTAAAACAATTATTATAATTTTGCAGTCGAAATTTTTCCGCAGGCTTGCCTCTCAAACCATTAACCCCATTTAGCTTCAAAAAATATTCATTCATTAATATCTCAACGAGGAAGCGCGGAAAAGAACAAATCTGGATCTGAAGCCAGATTTAATTAACAATTTTATTTCTCGATGACGCAGACAGCACCTTAAGGTGCCGGTTCCAACTGGAGTTAAAAAATAAGAAGATAATATTTGCTGTACGTCACACATTTGATCTCATTTGGGAAGAAAGATAAAACCATAGCCAATTGTAGATGATTTAATGGGCTATTAGGCCGGGCCACTGATTTATTGCAATATTGGCAAATTGGTTAATCACTGCGCCAGAATTATTCCACCAAGCCGATTCCATCAGCAAAACGAACCGAACCCAATTAGTCAAATTTCGATTTTCTTATCGAGACCATAAAAGAGTGTTAACAGCAAATAAACACCCAGGCAATATGAATATGTTTGCCCATTTATGTACATATATCAACAAAAATACATTTATAGGTGTATTTTTTTTAATAGATAAGAGACTCGAGCTGGTAATCAGTTTTTGCATGCTAACGATCGATTCCTCAGCTTTTCCTCAGCTGATAAAAGTAAAGGTGCAGAGAAACCGTCAATTTTGTAGATGTGTGGGGCTTGTCATTTCATTCTATAGAACTCTAACAAAAAAGAAAGAAATTTATATGTATCATCGTTTATTGTTTAGTTTCATTAAAAACACTTATCAGCACTTGAACACGGTTATCTCTATAGAAAATGAAATCGAAGTTAATAATTTGTATGTTTAATGTATGAAATTTTTATTTATCTCGATATATTATTGATCGTTTCCATTTCAAAGAGAGTAGGTTTTAATATTTAAACAGCAGTTGTTGCATGCATCAATACTTAACAAATCGTGTTTAATTAGTTGTATGTCCGAATAATCTCAGGTTTCGTTTCGATATATAACAAAACATTTACAACAATCAGTGCAAAATGGAACAATATACAATTGATACCCCAATTTCGGAGAATTGGCATGCAAGTTTTATGTACTGTATTTTTATTTACACTTGTAAATTATATTGTTATACGTGTGTATGATATCTTAACTATATTCACGTAGTCATCACGTTCTGTCACTGATTTTGGATGATTTTTCCGCTTCCAGTCGAGGGCTCCTGTACATTTGTAGGTTCTTTGTTGTGGGTATTTCTCCATCTACATTATATTATTTCGTCAGCCCCTTTTACCTTATAAAGCTGACGTTCATTGTCGGGGGCTTGACGATACTTAAAACACCATCATACGTCATCTTGTAGCGTATAATACCTTTTGCTTTTCCGAAATATGATCTAATTAGTTTTCGATTAAGAATTAGTAATGAGTAAATTAAACTATTTCATAAGAATCTAATTTTTTACATAATATATTGAGAACAATTTTGAACTGTAGCTAAATGTAATCTTACTTTTCATTTATGTTCACAAATACATAAGGAAGCTGACTTTACTAAGTTGGTATTTGACAATGGGTTGCCTTCAAAGCGCATTCTAGTTATCCAAATAAGAAAAATTGTTTTCATTGCAAATATTGACTGAATCAGAATGATTACTATATATAATACTGATAAGAAAATCGTGCGACTTTATTCACTTAATGTTTGAATGTACAATTGGTATTTGTAGTGAAAAACACTTTAAAAAGTCAAATTTAATGTTCAAATCTTGAAAGTACTGAAAATGAAGGCAAAATAAGGCAAGTAAGCTTAAAAATCTATTACTTCTATCATAGTAACTAGCGAATTCAGGCTCTTAAATTTTAATTTTAGCCACAGTCGAGGGCTACTTATTATTATCTGCAAATATCTTTCCTATCTGCCATGAACTCAGCCCTTATCTTGTTTGCCAACCTTTTATGCGTCTTGGTTGTCATCTACTTTTCCAACTCTTTCAGAGAACTTGATATAACTGAGGCCTTACAAAGATAATAATGTTCTTTCTGACAGTTCGCTAATTAGGGTACATTTAAATCGGGACAATGTCTCCAAGTTAAATAAGTATATATTTATTGTATGGATAGGATTTTGCAAGTGCCTAACACTTTTTTAAGACGATCGTGCCTTCTTTTTGCAGGAGATGCCACTGATGCGAGAACAGGATCGGCGGAGAAGCGTATCACCTTCACCTTGGCTCCCAGTTCCGCCGAATGCTCGCCGTCGGGTAGCCAATCGACCCTTACTCCCAAAAAGTTCGAGGCCATTGCCGAGGAGGAGAAGGAGGACGACAAGGCCGATGAGGAGGAGGATGAGGGCATGGAGGAGGTGGTGCTACGACCTCGACTCATCGACCGGCATCCCCATCTGCTGGCCAATCCCAGTGGCCTGACCACCACGCCCAAACGGATCCTGCGATCCGCCAAGAGCGTTCCGCACATGAATGTGCGCTCGTCGGCCAGTGAGACGGATATATTCTCCATAAGCGGTACGATGACCGGAAGCAGCCAGATTAGCATGACACCGGAGGTGCCATCGATATCGTTTAGTAATCTGCCGAAGAACTACGAGGACACGCCCACCATCGAGAAGTACAGGGTATCACAGAGCCTCTACTCCATTCAGACGGCAAATGCTGCACGGGCCACGCAAGATGATTACTCCATGCCCCGCTACTTCCGTCGATCTGCGATGCTATTGACCCAGAGCTCTGAAGTCCTGCCCGGCGCCAGTTCATTGGCATCCATGTCGCCATCGATGGCCTCGTCCTCTGCCTCGCCCGGATCCTCCAAGGACGAGCTGCGTCGCCCAGAGAAGGAGAAGAGCAAACGACTCCAGATGCTGCGCGGAAATCTACCGCCCCTACTTATCCATTCCGTGTCCTTCAAACGAAATCGCGACGAAGGCAAGCAGGTTGACTAGTCGCTCTCCAGATATACATAAGTTTGTTAACCACATTGTCCAAGTTTTTAATGTTTAAAATGTATTAGCCTTTAGTACCTGCTTATGCGTTTTGTGTATTACCTTCCAAGCAATGACCTGTCCAACAATTCCGCAGTATTCAGATGTACGTTTTATTGAGTTACTTGTTGATATTACAAAATAAATTGTATTTTACCACACAAAAAAACGAGAAAGGATTATATCCAATAAATCTTTAAAAAATTAAATGGAAATCTAACATATATCATAATATTTGTAGCTAGGCGACATCTATCTATCATCTATGTATATTCATAATTCTATTAAAAATAAACCATAATTGAGAAAAAAAAGATTTCACATCTCTCCCCGACGGGGAATTGAACCCCGGTCTCCCGCGTGACAGGCGGGGATACTAACCACTATACTATCGAGGATGTTGAAGACGTGGTGTCCAATTCGCTGTTTGCGTTTACGCAGTGTGCATGTTCGTTTCAATTTCGTTTGTTTCACATTTTTACTCAGAAGACAGATGTAAAGATGATTGTTTGACACAGCGCAAACAACATCCTCGATAGTATAGTGGTTAGTATCCCCGCCTGTCACGCGGGAGACCGGGGTTCAATTCCCCGTCGGGGAGAGGTGTATAATTATTTTGCCCTTTATAACTTTTTGTATGCAAGTGCATTTATATTTATATAAGTACTTATTAAACAGAAACTTCAAATAAATAAATAGGCCCTTGCCGTTTTTTAAATTTTTACAAAATTGTACTTTCAGAATATGTAATGCATAATGGTTTAGAATGACGAATTTCGATCAAAATACTTCACCATATATCGATTAAAAATCTTGATAAAACAATAATAATCTATATATGAATAAATAGTTAATTGCTAAATATATTTTGCTCTTTAAGAGTAAAAAAGTTTATTTACGGAGTAACTGAAAACCGAACCACCCATTCAGCTCAGCATCCAAAATGGCAACGCTGGTAGTAGAAAGTCTCACTGGCAACGCTAGACGACCAGTTTTCATTCGTATTGGTGTGTGTTTGTACAAAAAAACATTCGTATTGTTTTATTTGTGAGGTGCTCTTCTAAAACATAAACAATAAATTGCGTGGAGTGCCCTACTTTTTATTTAAGTTGTGAATTAAACAAATATGAACAAATGCTTGTGCGCGTGAATTAGTTAAATTGTAAATTATAAATAAAGCAATACATATAAACGGCCGGCAAAACAGAGAGCGCAACTTTTAAGGGAGAGCCAAATCCGAAAAAACAGAGTTTCCAGGTTTCCGTTAGGTACCACATTGAAAGCCGGTACTCCACTAATGTTGTTTTGGAATATTATAGGCTTAAAAGTAATGCTTACAAATTATTCGTGAATCTTTGAAACTATGATTAGTGATTAACACATTTTTCCGAAAATATTAGTGTTAAACCTTTTATTATATTTTATTTTATTTATATTATTTCTGCACGTGCCCCCAGTTCGTTGCTATAAAAAATTCGTACACAAACGCCCTTGACACGCGCAGTCGCACCCGCCCACTGAGAGGGGAACGATGGAACTTTCATAAACACTATTTCAATTTTCTATTTAAAGTTAAGAGCGTTCTAGAAACTGTTTTTTCAATAGTATTTTAATTTTACTTTTAAATGTTTATGATTTTCAAGAATCAATAACATAATTATTTTAAGTACTGCGAAGGAGAATTACAATTTAAAGTTGCCGATTTTAGTGAGGGGGGTTTTAGTTGACAAGGAGAAAGAAATTGAGAGCAGAGGTTTGAAGAGAGCCTTTCGTTTTGAAATTTCTCTTAAGCCCTGTTCCTGATGAGGGACACAAAAACCTCGATTTTTCTAAAATAATGAACTTTACTTTGTGCAAACAACCTATTATTAATTTTTGAGTGAATAAATAAAAGAGTTCTGGGGTTTCCATAGTATCCGACACTAGTTTCCATACTAGTTTGAGTAATTTTAAAACATTTTTGTATAATTTTTTTTATAATTTTTAGAATGCCCATATAAATAATTTGTTTTATTAACAACAAATATTAATTTTAACGGTAATATTAACAAAATTATGCTTACTTGCAATTTGTATTATTATGATCTTACATTTTTTTTTACTCTCAGTTTTTATATTTAGGTCAATATAATAATTTCCTTATTGTCTTTTTTTTTTTTAATTTGTATATTTGTGTGCTGACCAGCTGTTAAGAGAGAGCAAAAGAGAGTGGACATGTTTGACGTCGAACCAAAAAAGTGACCGTTCGCTGCTTTTCATTTACCTGCAAGAAACACACTAACGCGCAACAATGCACTAGCGCCAGAGAAAGTGCCATCTCTCTTCGTGCGAGTTCTCTTTTCATTCGAAAATTTAACGCCCGCGCTGCTGCAGCGCGTTGCTCCGGTTGGAAAATATCTGAGAACAGCATTAATAAATAAACAAAAATATTGGATAAATCGCCGGAAAAACGCAGCAAATAACGAAATTTGGTTTCTTGTATAAATATTATTTTTCAAGATATTTTCTTGTTAATTTTCGTAAATTCGCCGAGGATATCTCTGCATCTGTCGCGTTGATAAACAAATTCCAGCACCGCAACCTTTGTGTCGCGCAATTGTGAAAAGTGATTTGTCCATTGTGTACATTAATTAATAAATTGGTAATTGCTCAATTTAGAAACATGTGCAATCGAGTGCTAGTGTGAGTGCGTGTGTGCAACAATAATAAAGCCGAAAATTGCCCAATTGCAATTGGCAATCGCAACAAAATTGGAATATTGTGGCATATTAGAAAAACATAATTACGAAAACTGTGCTTCACCCAAAGTTTAGGCCGCAGCGCAGCGAATCAAAAAAATATACAATTTCGGCAATTTTTCCACATATTTTTCATTGATTTTTCGCCTGGCGCGCACCCATCCAGCGGGTGTGAGCGAGAGGGCGAGAGAGTTGGAAGGAGAGCCAGGCTTTTGTATTCTGTTTTGTGTACGTTTTGGCAATGGAACGGTTCTGTCACTCTCTTGCTCTCTCTAACTCACCCTCCCTGGCTGGATTATCCTTTTTATATTTTGTTTATTTCTCTATTTTCCTGGCCACGTTTTGTGCACACCATTCGTTTCGCTGCATTTCATTCTCGCGCGTTTCAAATTGGCCACACACCGACTCAGAGAGAAAGTGAGAGAGCGAGCAGCTCTCTCTTATTCTTCTCCCCATACACACCCCCCGCATAATGTTTTTCGGCTCTGCCTTGTGCCCCCCATTCGCATCTCTCTGCAGTCGTTGTCCTTTGCCCGCAGCGCGTTGCCAACCGAAAAAAAACTAAAGTACTGTTGTCAAAATAAGAAATTAACCAGGGAGAAGAGAAGAAATTGTAAATTACACGGGATTTTTAATAGGTTTTTGTTAGGAAAAACGATTTGAATTGATTTTACCCAGCGTTCTTAGTTAAAAAGTTTACTAAATTAAAAAAAATGGATTTTAATTTAAATAGGGCTGTGCCATTTCTGTGAGACGTGGATCTCTGCCAGAAATGGATGTTCAAGATAAGCCCTCTCTGCGGCCATAACTTTTGCTTAAGGAACTGAAATCTAATCCAGTTCTCCTGCTTCCATCCCCACAGTATTTAAGCCAGAAACAAAGTGAATAAGGCGAAATTGAATAAAGAAACGAATAACGAATAAACCAAGGAAATATGCTCAGAAAACGCATTCATAGCCTACTTATCGCATGAAGAACCGGTACCGTTAACGGATAATCGCCGTCGCGTTAATTCGACTCCTGCACCGCACCGAATCGCCCCGCCCCTCCCCACTTTGCCGTTTCGCCCGTTCATATATCCGATATAACCGTTATCGCGCCCGTGCATCTGCGTCTGCATCTGTGTGCGTGAGTCCTTGTATCCTCTGTACATATGTACAATATTTGTCGTCGTCGTCGTCGTGCATCGTTGTTGTTGTTCTTGCTGTTATCCTATTATTCATCGTCGTCCGCTGGCATTAATCTGCGTATAAAGTAAATATAACAAATTTGTGTTCTTCGGTGTTGTCTCGTGTAAGTGTCTATAATTTGTTTAAGTACGACAAGCGATCGGTGCGAATCAAAAAATTCAAATTCACCAGTCTGTGTGTGCGAATCGATAATCGAGCTATCAGAACGGCCACAACAACAACGACAACAACAACTACAACAACAACCCAATCAATCGATCAATGTCAGCAAACAAGCGATAAGCAGGACTCGCTGGGACTAATCAATTGCGTAATCTTCCGAATATTTTGGATCCCAACGTCCAAGGAGTTTCAACTTTTGAACAAAAGTTTTGGATTCAATAGGACAGTTTTTGGAAAGGTAAGCACTGAAATATTTATCTTATTTTATTAAGTCATTTAGCATAATGCTTATAATTCTCAATTAACGGAAGTGAAGTTTCGATTAAGATTAATCGCAGGAAATGGTGAAGTTAATTTGATGGAAAATCAGAACGTATTTAAAGCGAGATACAAATGCACATATGTACTTTGGGAGTTAGAAATTTCATTAACACTGATCTCGTTATGGGCTAAGCGGATGCACATCGGTCGTGCCGGGGAATATCTATATTTAGCACACGTATTGTCCTTTGGCCACGTTCTAGGATAAGAAAGGACATGCCTTGGAAGGGGTCAACAAAAGCCGTTCTCGATATTTGCGTACGCCGCACACACGACTGCGTGGGTGCGAAGGGTGTGGGTATGGGACGAGACTCATTAGGACGAACCGAAAATGGTTGGAATGCACTTTTGCAGACAGATATACACTCGGCCACACAGCAGGAGATATCGGAGCTCAGACAGAGATACAAAGCGGAGCAATTTCCATTTGAAATGTAAACAAAGCACGCTGATACCCGCACAGTGGAGCAGATGATTGGACAGTCGGAAAAACAAAGGCGAACCGAACACTTAAGATACGGCTACAGTGGAAACCACACAAACGGGACACGGACAACTAGTGATTTGAAAATGTTGATAAAAGTGTGGTAGCTATTAAGTAAATTAATGAGGATGCCAGTTTGAACAATTTCTTAGCAAAGTTCTTTGGTTGTGTTTAAGTAACTACAACTTTATGTGTTTAAATACCCAAAAGAGGTTTTCCTATGTTGGATATCAGATGTTTTCATTAGTTTCGATTGAAATTGAAATCGTAAACTGCAAACACTTCATATGGAGTATCTTTTATGTGCTCAATCCTTTAGGCGCCTACTCATTGGCATGCGAGCAGAAAAATCAGAACAACATGTATTCGACCCGGGAATCCGATTTAGTTCTGCTTCACCCGCATTTTTGTCTGCATTACCTAACCGATTTCACAGCTGTAATCTGTTCTTTTCCTATCTGTGATTCCCTCTTTTTTACTCTCGTTCTGAGATGCACTTTTGATTGAAGAAATGGTCTTCGTCGTCGTTTTTGATAGCTTTAATCTTTTAATCGCTTGCATATTTAGGAATTTAACAGAGAGCCATCTACGCTAATCCGCTGAGATTAGCCTAATGGGACTTTGTAGCTCCAGTTGTATTTCCCATAATCTTTCATTTTTGTAAATGGTCACTTCTTGAAATGTTATTCCAAGTTCTTATGGTAATTTGATTCCCTCTCTTATGGTAAACGGCATATCTGTATCTGATAAGAATTGAGATACAATTGATGGTTTTCCTCAAATGCCCTGTTGAATTCGTAGTTTAGATACGGTTGCTCTTCATACAGTTTCCAAGCATTTATTAATTATATATTTTTTTAATAAATTTCATTTGCCTCCCATTGTGCAATGGCGGGTGAGCTTCGTCTGTGGTTTAGATGACTGCGGACTTCTGGCATTTAACCTCCTTCGCCACTCCCAGACCCATTTCACATTTTCCTAGCCAAGTATCTAATCTATGTATCTAAGTATAACCAAAGAAGCCCGTATGTTTTGTATTGTGTTACACAAATATTTAAGCTGCCTTAAGTAGATACAACGAAACGCGTTCAAGATACACAAATATGTGTAGAAGAAAAGAGCCAAGGAAAAGCGCAACAACAACAGCGCCTCGGAAGGAAAAGTTACATTTCAGTTAAATGTGCGGGTGCTGAGCGCTGTGGGTGGTGGAAATCCCCTATCTTCCCACCAAGCAAAACTAGAAATGCCAAAGTCGTGCAGTAAGTTATCACTACCAAAGAAATTGAATGAGCAGACTAACATATAGATAGATTCACAGGCAAATTCAAACTGAGCTGTCCCGCAAAAGTCAGAAACACTGATATTTAACCCAT